AAAAGGGGCCGATATTTAAATTCGTTGTGACAAGAAATTCACTGTGGCAAGGTTCACTGTGGCGAGGTTTGACTGTACTTATCCCCGAATTTTACTATGTTGATCCTTTCCTTCATTGATGGATCACGAATTAAATTTGTCGATCATTATTGACCAATCACAGAGAAATTTCGTTATGCTTCCCCCTGCATTTTGGAATTGATTTAAAAAAAAATTTTTTTTCTTACTCACGATTGATACAACTCACAAACAACAAAAGATTATTTTTCTCTTGCTTGCAATACTCATAATTCTCACAATTCTTACAAACAACCAAAAATTTTTCTCACAATTCTCACAAACAACAAAAAATTATTTTTCTTGCTCACAATACTCATAAACAACAAAAAATTTTTCTTGTAAACAAACAACAAAAAAATGGATAATAATAATATAAAAAATTACTTCAGTAATTCTTCCTTGCTTGAAGATGAATTACCAACTGAATCAACAGTAACTGTAACAGGTGGCCCCAAGAATAAAGTGGTTGGAAGAATTTTCATGGTTGGAATATAGGAAAGTTAACAGCAGAATTATAATGTTTTGTAGAGTTTGTGAGAAATATAATTGTGATAACATTTTTGTTTCAGGGTCTGTAAATTATAAAAAAGATGCAATAACTTGGCATGAAACCAAAAATAAGGAGCATTTAAGTTCTATAAAATTATACAACAATTCCAAACAAACAACAATAATAGCTGCAAATCAAAATCAGTACAATAAAATCAAAGCTCAAATTATTCAACAAATGAAAGTAATCTACTTTATAGCCAAAAATAATTTGAATACAAGCATGTACAATAACCTGATGAACTTATCTTGTCCCAGGGTTGGCAAATGTGTGGTCCATTGATTGTGGTGTTCGATGGCGGTTGATCATCAAACATATGTTACATCAATATAACAAATTATTATGTGCAGTTTTTTTTTTAGTATCTTTATCATATATTTCAATACATTGTAAATGTTGACAACAAAATTCAACTAACAATATATTTT